AGTAACGAGTAACTTGAAGTAACTGAGTTACTTTTGAGAGAAGTAACTAGTAATGTAACTAAGTTACTATTTTAAAGTAACTTACCCAACACTGCTCACCAGTGGCCCATGAATCATTCAAGCATCAAAAACCAGATAATTCAAGGAATGATCCAGTTCTGTGGAGACACAAGAGACAGCTTAGTAAAAAAAAAAAAAACACATTGTAGTTATGTTTGTTAGCACTTGATACTAGCACTGTCGCTCGCTCTCTCTCTCTGTCTTTCACTCACACAGACACACCACCACCATCAACTTTGCTAAATTGCTAATGAAAAACATTGATCAGGCAGCTGTGATTGAGCAGTAGTGTAAATCCAACTATTTTCACGGTTGTTGTGGTCGTGATAATTTTGTGAGGCCACACCGAAAAGGCTCGGATGAGCTTTCCAAAGTTCTACAAATTGTGCCTCCATCGCTTGTGTCCACATCACACGCTGCACTGCCGTGCTGCACCATCTTTTTCGCTGACATTTGTGTTTGCGCGTGCGCAGTGTGAGAAACTGCGGTGACACCCTCACGACCAAGCGATTGATGATCGGGAGCTGGTCGTGAGGTGTTAATCGCTTCTCGTTACCCCACGTATACTACACGATGCACGACGCACGATGAAGGCCAAAATCAGGCCGATCACCATAACGGTCGCACGACTCAAAAATCGGCTCAAAATGGGCTAAAAATCGCAGTGTCTGCCCAGCATAATACTGCCATTAAAACCATTAAATTATGGATTTACTCATAATTTCTGTCACATGATTAAATGAATAATGTTCTAAAATACAGCTTGTATTTTATTAGGTCATCAAATTCATTTATTTGCAATTTTTCAGCTGCCTGATAGAGAAACTGGGGAGACTGTGTGAGACCGCTGTTTAAATTAATTTGCAGCAAACATGGTTTGTGTTATTACACAGAACAAGAGAGTGAACACAGCAATTATAATCAGACTGAATCTATGATGATTGTTATGATGCAATGTGTGAATGTGTGTGTGAACTGCACACAAAGAAATTGGCGTGAAAGAACAATTTCTTTTGAATTTTTTTTTTTTTTTTTATTGGGAAGGTTCCAGAAGACGTTCATGTGCTTTTG